AGGGTTAGGGGTGAGAATGCAGCTGACTTTGAGTCAAGAGGAGGGGATTGGGGAGAAAGAGAAGCCATGTATGGCCGTCACAGCATGTTCACAGGATTGTGCGTTTGTTGGAATTTAAGGACTTTTCACCAAAAGGGTAAATTTCCACTATATTAAACATTTCTAAATGGGTGTGAGGTTTGATGTGACCTTATCACTGGGTCAGGAGTTCAAGTTTACCTAGTACTGTTTGGTGTTGGGCTGTATGGTTCCATGGGTTATCGGGACACACAAGAAGCATAACTGAGCCACAGCTGTTTATCAGCTGCCTCCAGTCACAGCAGCATCCTTACGCCTCTCACCCTCACAGGCTTGGGAGAGGATCGCCCTCTGCCGTGCTGTGTCTGAGGGCAGACACGAGCAGGACACAGGGCTGAGGAGTCTGCTTGGGATCTGGACAGGGAGATGGCGGCCCAACCTTCTCTGCTGGAACCCTGTGCTCTCATTCCCAGGCCGGTTGCTCATCCATCCCCATGTCTTTACCCCCGGCCCTGTTTGTACTGTGGAGCAGCCCTGTGGGTACTGCCTGGCTTAGTATCTTGGTTTCTATTCTGGCTCTAACAGGAACTCTGTAGTCACACTCGGAGTCATTCTCCATCTCTAAAATGGGGGCGATAATAGACCTCTTTCATGGGGATCCAAGGGTTAAAGGATGCAAGTTTGCGCAGTGCCTGGCCCAACGCCCGCCACAGTGGCCCTGTGAACTACATTGTTAATACAATGGCCTGTTCCTGTGCTTGTCCCCCACTGCCACAGGCAGGACACATGGTGAGGCTGGGAGCTGTGTCTTGTGGTGCTTAGTATCCCTAAGTTTGCCAGCACAGGACCTGAGCATGAAAGATGCCTCCTGAGGCTTTTCAACCCAGTAGACAGATGCAGTTGTGACATTGGGGTGTCAGGGATGCTCAAGACCGTGGGCATCACAGAAAGCAGCCAGGTCATAGTTCACAGGGGGCGGAGCTCACGGGCAGGAGCTGCACTCCACAGCCTTCCTGTCTCCTCCCTCCTCCAGGCCCAGGTATGGAACTGCACATCTCGCCACCTGCAGCAGCTCTGCCGCCCTGCTTTACAACCAGCCACCGCGGCTCCAGTCAGCCCAGGTTTACCTGCAGCTCCAGTCGGCGCAGGTTCAACCTGTGCTGGCTTGTACAGGGGCAGAAATCCAGGCGTGGGGCTGCGGTGGGAACAGGATCAAAGTGTGGGGACTCATCTGCCTGTCCAGCTAGATAAATACCAGGTCCAGGAAAGGCTGAAGTGAGCCTCCCTGCTGCTGGAGAGGGACAGATGGAAGGACAGATGGCAGTCTCTGTCCATGGTCCTGTTTTGAGCCCATAGCCGGGGATGCTGAGGACATTGCATTTACCAGGATACACAGATGGGAGACAGGTTACGTCTCAAAAGCTTAGACTGCTTGCCTGGGCGATTAAGGAAGAATGAGTAGGGACAAAGGTCACTGCTGCTCTCAGGCTCCCCAAACTGATGATACTCAGGCAGAACGAGGTGGGTGAGTTTAACTGGAGCACATGGAGAAGACCCAGGGGCGCCGCCGCTAAGACGTACTCACAGAGGTGTGGGGAGCAGGACAGAGGTGGCCATGCTGCTCTTGCTCTGTGCCAGCCAGCCTCACCGGATGTAGTGTCCAGTTCTGACTGATGAGTTTTAAGGTGGACATGTCCAGCCGGTTGCATCAGTGGATGGTAACTAGAATGGTGAGATGACCGAGCCCTGCTTTGTGTAAACAATGGTCGGAGAGATCAGCATAGGTAATAGAGATGTGCTGGGGTCAGAGATCACAAGAGTGACGATACCTCCCCCCTGTGGAGATCAGACCCACTCATGTGTCTCTAATGCAGCAGTGCCCTGTGGAAATTTCTGCATGAATAGAACAGTTTCATACATGATCTGTTTGATAGATAACAGACTTATGTGGCTGTGTGTGTGTGTGGCTGTGTGTGTGTGTGTGTGTGTGTGTATGCATGATCATGAGTGTATATACATTTGTGTCTGCATGTGAATAGGTTGTCTTTTTGGTTACTCTCCACTTCCCTTTTTGAGATAGGAACCCTCACTGAACTTGGAACTCACAGATTTGTAGTCTGGTTGGCCAGCAAGCCCCAGGGATCCTCCTGTTTCTGCCTTCCCAGTTCTGATACGGCCATGTTTCCCAGCTGTTCCAGGGGTGCTGGGGGTTAGGTTCAGGTCCCCATGCTTGTGTGGTGAACACCTTACCACCTGAGCTGTCTCTCCAGACCCCTGGTTGTATTTTTTTAGACAGTTAACATATGACTACAGGTTGAATTTTAAACAATACGATTTTAACTGAAATATTAGCCTCCTGTGGTGGGTGGCCACTGTCTGGGATGCCAACCCTGTAGAGGACAAATACAACAACAGACCAGAGATCAGCTATTTTTCTAAAAAATACACTAGTAGATATATTTGTAGATATAGTAGTATATTTTATATATAGTATATATACTATACTATATCTAATATGTAATATTATAGTATATATATTACATATCTAATATTATTAGTATATTATAGATATATTAGTAGATATATTTGTCTCACCCTGCCCCAAAGTCTTCAAAAGCAGTCTACAGAAAGGGGGATGAACACAACCAAGCACCGGTAGCACTCTATCCATGGACCAAGGTTTGAACTTAGCATATTTTTTTTTACATGTTACCTTTCCTTCATTCCTTCTTCCTTCCTTCCTTTTTCTCCCCTCCCACTCCTTTGGCTTTTCAAGACATGATTTCTCTGTGTAGCCCTGTCCTGGACTCACTTTGTAGACCAGGCTGGGCTCGAACTCACAGAGATTCATTCCCCTGTCTCTGCCTCCCTCTGCTGCCTCTGCCGGGATTAAAGGTGCGCACCACCATGCCTGGTTGCAGAGAATTTTTTTTTTTACCTTTTCTTTTCTTTTTCTTTCATTCCTTTTACATGTTACAAAACAGTATTTTCCTTCAGATGATATTTTTCAACTCTTAAAAAAAAATATGTGATTCATTCTTAGCCCACTGGTCATATGAGAGTGGGTGTCAGGCCGGCCTGGCCTGCAGGCTGTGATTCACTGTGCTGACCTTGGCTGTGAGTGAATGCTTTAGGGAGAGTTGTAGGTCAGGCCAGTGAAGATGATGCTCAGATCGAGGGAGCCAGCAGCAGCAGGATTGTCCTGGGAAGACTTGGCTAGATAACCAACTGTCCATCAAAAGTGGTGTGGGGGTGGCCTCCGTAAACAGGCCATGCTAGTGTGTTCTGACTCTGTAGACACGTGGAAGTCAGGGGGACTTATGGATGCTCCAGATACACTGCTTTGCAGAGTGAAGTCAGTCACCTTCACTTGGTTCTTCATGCCATGTTAATTCATGGTGTTGTCAAATGCTTCAGCCCATGATTCCTTGGCCTTATGAATTTGGTTCTGTGGTCGGGCAGAACATCATAGAAAGGAGCCACATGGTAGAGGAGGCCTGTTCACCTCTTCACTACAGTGGTCGGGAAGAAAAAACAAAACAAAACAAAACAAAACAAGAACAACCTAATAAAACCCAGAAGCTCTAACTCCACTATGCCTCAATTCTTAAATGTTTTTGCTACCAAATGTAGCAGTGGACTGGGATGCAGCTCAGTTGGTAGAGTGCTTACTTAGCATGGAGCTCTGAGTTAGTGCATGACTCAAGTTAGTGTATGGTGGCACATACCTGTGATCTCAGCGTTTAGGAGAGGGAGGCAGGAGAATCAGAAGTTCAAGGTCATCCTCAGATATATAGTAAGTTCGAAGCCAGCCCAGTATACATGGACCCTGTCTCAAAACCCAAACAAAACAAAAACAAAGCAAACAAAACAGACAAACAATAACAAATCCAACCAACGAAACCACCCACCCACACAAGCAAACAAACAAACAAGCTAAACCCAAGTGCCATGGGCTGGGTACCAACTCCTTAACACATGGGCCTTCAGATTACTTCCAAGATCCAAACTATAGCCATGAAGAGACTTTACTGAGGACACCCAAAGCCTCCCCGCAGGAGAGTAGAGTCCCTTGCCCAAACACCTCTGCATTCTGCCATTTGGTCTCCTGTAGCTGATAGGATGGCTGGGTTAGGATGAGGGCCTTCACCCTCGTTTGGCTTCTTCTGTTGATGGGACATGCCTCATCCTATGGTGGCTGAAGGTCCCCTTCCTGTCTTTCTTCTCTGACAAATGGGGATCCACAGCTCCCCACACTTGGGAGCTTGGAGTCTATATCCAGATGAGTCTGAGAGTCTACAGTAGTAGGCGTGGCCTTCCTGGGGTTGCTGATCCAGTCTTTGGAAATTCAGAGGCGTGATTGTTTCTCATTGTGACAACTCAGCTTTGCTTTCTTTCCTCCTTTCTCCCTGACTTCTATTTGTTTACAGTTCATCTTTGCCAAGCCAATCAATCAATCATTCAGTCAGTCAATCACAGTGCCCATCAGGGAAGATGCTAAAATATTGGTTGGAGGTTTTAACATTTTTATGCCTTTACCAAACTTGGCTCCATCGCAATGGTTTTCTTCTTCTTCTTCTTCTTCTTCTTCTTCTTCTTCTTCTTCTTCTT